ACAGGTCCTTGGAGAGGGACATCATGCTTGGTAGGGTGGAGGGACAGCGCAGGAGGGGAAGACCCTCTATGAGGTGGATTCAGTGACTGGGGTAATCAGGATGGGTGTGTGAGAGGCAATGTGATTGGCACAGGATAGAGCAGGGTTTAGGGCTGTTGTGCATAGGGTCGCTATGAGTCACAAACGACTCGATGGCACATAGTAACAACAACAACAACTCCAAAGTCCAACATACATGGTTTGGGGAGGGTTTCCTTTATTTAGGAAGATAATCAATGAGCCTAACTATAATCATCTGGACAACATCGCTGAACCACAGTAACATTTTCCCCTAACCTCCCAGTAAACAGCACCATCTGTTAACAGCTTTCATGGGAGCACTTGTAAAACATGGAGAGCTAAGGGTGAAAAGGACCCTAATAACCTGTGAGGGCTTTATTCTCCTTTACTAAAGAGCCCAGGAAACCAACACACTGCTGTCAAGTCGTTTCCAATTCAGCCTAAACACAGTGAGGACTAAATGAAAGCTTGCTGAACTGACCTACACCCAAAAAAAAAGGGCATTTCTCAGTAAAGAAAGGAATGCAGAATCAATCATTACATGAGTTAAACTGCTGCACAGGTAATTGGCACTGAGCTCAGTCTCAATTACGTTACCTGTGAGATCCTTCTCTCGAAATTGTATAATATGCAGAACCATCGTGTCTGCCAACTGTTTCGTCAGCTCCGTGTGGAGGATGTTAAGCTGAAAGAAAGAAACTTCGTGAAGAAAATGATGTAGATTATTCCATATACCATCACACTGTACAATTCTGTGTGGTTAAACAGCTGTTACACGTCCTTAGCAAATAAAACACCTTCAAAAAGCACTGAACGATACAGACCTAGAGCTCTAAAAAAGCTAAGAGCAAGGCTCTTGTCTGACTGGGCATCAGTTAAGCCACGGTTATTGTTTACCTCACAAACTCTGGCTGTTCCTGAGTCATATCCAGCGTGGCTGGCAGAATGGTTATGTGCCTGCAGCCGGCAGTGAGAGCTGCTCACTGTCAGTGCTCAACACAGCGATCCAGGATCTGTGCTTCTGAGGAAAGCACCAGGGTTGGAAATCTCTCCACATAATGAAACATGGGAGACCCAACTGCAAGGCTGCCCATTAATAGAAACCAACAGTCAAACAAGTCTCTCACTTTCATTGCTTTTCACCCCCACCCCCTTGTCTCTTCAGCTTCTAAGCCCAATTACTTGTTTTGAAAGTTGACACGGCCACTGGGAGCTCTCTGCTCTCAGAGGGCAGACACCACAGTCAGAGCCAGGGAAGCCACTAATACGAATATCACGCAGGCTGGACGCTTACACACGAACAGCTGTGGAGGAAGCACGCTCCCCAAGGAGCCAGCCCAGCCTGATTCCAGGCCTCTCTGCTCCTCAGAAAGGGCCTTTCTAAACACTACAAGGCAAACAACCTGTTCCGCCTCACTGCGTCATTTTAACAGCTGCTGATTTTCTCTCCCCTTCTAAAAAAGGCTTAATAAAGCCGCTCCAAAACCAAATTAAACTCGTGGCCATGAAGTGGGTTCTGACTCAGGGCAACCCTGGAAGACAGAGCAGGGCTTCCCCAGCTGCAAGCTTCATGGAAGCCGGCTGGCGCAGCTTTTTTTTCCCCCCTCAATAATTTTTTATTGAAAGTTACAGAAAACTTGGATTTCCATTCATTCATGTGTGCACATTTCCCTCCCTACATACCCAGTTTGCTTTTCTCTTTAAAAAATTCATTCATGTTGCACAACTTCCTCCCTCTCCCCATGCTCCCAGTCCACTTTATTATGCAGCCCTTACTCTGGACTGTTGTCATGCAAATAATACCTAATCATATATTCCTTTTAAAGTTCTTTCCCTCATCTGTTTCAATGCAGTGTTCTTTATTTATCCCCTCTTTTCGTAGTTTCCCCCAACCTCCAAGTCAGTCTTGTTTGATAACAGTGGCATTATGCAGATATTTTGTTCTTTTGTGACTGACGTATTTTCACCAGTGCAGCTGGTGGGTTCAAACAGCTGATCTTTCAACTAGCAGTCAAGCTCTTAACTACTTGTAGCTTTAACTGCTCTAGGAGAAACGAAAATCAGCACCACCAACTATCATCTCTAAGTATTTTTCACTCACAGCAAGGAATTTATTTTACAGAGCCTTGTTGACATATCTTTAAGTATTTTTGTGTGCAATCTTTATATTATAGTGCTCTCATTTGCTCTCGGATTTGGATATCATTAACTGCAATTTATAGGCAATAGATACACGATTTTATACAATCTTTTTTAAGTCCAGTGAAGGGAGTTTTCCTATGACTAGAAGAAATAAAACCCCAGGGCATTAGATGGCTTTCTAGGGGTCTATATGCAAAGAATGACAAGTTTCCCAGTTATTCATTTTCTTCCTAAAGGTCAAGGGGATTTTATCACTAACTTTGCCTTGGGGCTTTGAGAGGTATGGGACACTCTGAGCACTTTAGCTGAGACAAGCGGAGACACAGCACAGCCCACCTCTCCAAGCCCAGTATCAGCAGCTGTAAAACAGGGTAACAGTGTCTCCCTTGTGCTGATTACACAGTAAGGTTGAAAATACTCCGAAAGCAGTGTGTGTGATACACACCTGGCATTCAAGAAATGGAATCTGCAATGACAGTGACTTCGGGTCTCAGGCACATTCTAATGAAGTGATCCAGGATCCATGCTTCTGAGAAAGCCACTAATGTTGGAAATCTCTCCACATCATGAAACATGGAAGACCCGACTGCAAGGCAGCCCATTAATAAAAATTAACAGCCAAACAAGTCTCTCACTTTCATTGATTTCCCCTCCCCCCAGCCCCCTGTCCCTTCAGCTTCTAACTCCAATTACTTGTTCTGAAAAATTTTCAACTTGGTTGGGGCCCAGATACAGATAGAAATAACAAGTTCAAATGCTTACCCTCCTCTTCCCAGGCCTAGACTCAAATGAAATGCCCTGCTTTTTCAGTCTTCATTCTCTAATCCAGGAAGCTTATTTTAAAAAATCCCCTTGAAGTGCTCAACTTCTGGTCAGTGGCTCCAACTCCTGGTGAACCCATGTGCCAGAACAAAACCCTGCCCAGCCCTGTGCCATCCTCACGATCGTCAGTATGTCTGAGTTCATTCCTGGGCCTGCTGGGTCCACCCTTCTCACTGAGGGCTGCCTTCGTGTTTACTGACCCTCCAATTTTCCAAACAGCATGTCCTTTTTCATGATCAGTCCCTTTCAAAGACATGTCCAGAGAAAGTCAAGTCAAGGTCTCAGAGAATACTCTGTGATCCCCAGATTGTCACTGGTTAATATCTTAGAAGTAGATCACTGGATGTTTTTCCTATCTTCCCGGTCTGGAAGTTCTACTGAAACTGGCCTACATGGTGGGTGGTGCTGTACCTGCTGGACTGGGAGCACAGCTTCCATCATCATAGCAACATTTAAGTCACCAGAATATGACAAAGTGCTGGTCAAACAATAAGCCAAACTTGCAGAAGGCCATTAAACTACCTATAAAAAATAAACACCACATTTCAAGGCTTTCATCCTTAGGGAATGATTCAATGTCCATTAAAGAATCATCATCGTTCCTGCCCATGAAAATTTGCTTGTGAGTAAATATTTTCAATTGGAATCTGGGTTTCAACAACTAAACCACATTTCCTTAGTAGCACTTGTCTGGTCAAGAGAACACAAGACTTTAGTCTCAGCGCAGTTCTCCCCGGGTTGTTTATTTACTGTGAATTAAGGAAAAATTCCTCTTACCCTCCAAAAGCAAAAAAACACCTTCACCCCTCACCCTGCCCTAATAACATCTTCTATTCATCCTCTCCTCTTTTAGGATCTTCTGGGGGAGGGTGTGGATAGCTACCCACCCATTTTAAAGAGAGTCCAGCAGTGGGACAGAAGTCAAGTAACAACTGGATGATTGACTTGTTGACTGCTGTGTCCCAGTGCCTAGAACAGCATCTGCTAAACAGTCAGTGGTCCATAAATATTTGCTGAATAAATAATGGCTTGGTTAGCTGATCTGCTGAATGAATGAAGAGACAATCTGTGCCATTACATATGAAAGCTGATGATTCCAGACTGAAGAGAGTAACCACACTCTTATCACTGATTGGACATTTGAATGTCATCTGCACAATCTTTTTTTGTTTAATCTATCATGATTTTTTTTTAATCTAACAGACTCTTAAGAGAGATGGACTGATTAAGAATGCTCAGTTTTGCTGCTCACTCACATCCATTCCTGTTGAGTTGGTTCTGACTCACAGCAACCCTGCACTGGGTTTGTAAGACTGAAAACCTTTCTAGGAGCACACTGCCCATCTTTCTCCCTCAGAACTGCTCGTGGATTTTTTTTTTAATTTTATTATTTTTGTGTGCGTGTACCGTCAAATCAGATCTGACTGGTACAGGAGGAGATTGTCCCTCCTTCCCCAGCAGAGCATCTGGTGGATTCGAACAGTGTGCCTCTGGGATTGTAGTTGCAGCTCCTTGCCACTAGGCCACCAGAGCTCCCCGAGAACTGCTCGTGGATTTGAATTGCTAGAGGTGTGAAGCCTTTGGGTTAGCAGTGTGACTCACCAGAGTCCTCCTTTTCTTTTCCCATCCCTTGAAGAGGGTCCTTTATAATGAATCTGAGTGTAAACATAAAACACTCACACCCTCCCCATACTAGGAGGATTTATGCATTTTCAGGTAACACCTGTGTTTTAACTATTCCAAATGCACTGTAAATCATAGAAGAGTAGATGTTTGAAACCGTACATGGAAGATAATGTTGTTAAGAGCTGGGGAGGTGACTGCCAAGTCATAGCAACCCCATGTATAATAGCTCTGAAGCCTGCCCTGTCCTGATCCAGTCTCACTGTCTCAGACACACCCTATTACCCCAGTTATTCTATCTATCTGTGCTGTCCCTCCACCTTTCCAAGCATGATGTCTTTCTCCAAGGACTGGCTCCTCTTGGCAATATATCTAAAGTATGTGAGACGGAGCTTCAAAATCCTTACCTCCAAGGAGCTGCTTGGTTTCACCCTTTCCAGGACTGACCTATTTGTTCTCCTGGCAGTCCATAGTATATTCAATACTTTTCTCCATGGAAGATAAGAGTCTAGAAATCTTTCTTTTTTCTATTGTTCATGTGTATCAATGCCTTTCCCACTGAGCTAGAAACAGCCTAACAGTATATAATCTTCCTTTTGAAATAATCCTGGGAGGTCAACAGTGCGAGATCTCAGATATTTAAGCAAAGTGGAAAGTGGGCCAAAATCAAGATGAAAGAAAGTTCAAGAAAGAATGAAGTGAAAATTTGCCAAACAGCAATCTTACCTCATCCACCACTTTAGAAAAGTGGTGAAGTGTAGAAATTACTTCTTCATCTCCTTTGCCAAGAGCAAAGTTCTAAAAGCAAAGAATGAAAAGAGGCAGGTGTCATTTGAATGCTGCAGGATTTTCACAACCCCATAATGCACTGTTCTCTCAGGATCACTCCCTGTCAGAGGCACTGAGCAGCGCTCTCTCCTCATCCTGCACCAGCAATGCCCTCGACACAATGGCCACTGCCCTTCTGCCTGGATGTAATGATATCTTTATTTAAGCATTTATTTCCTGGAGTTGTTTAAGGCCAATTCCATTACTGGCCCTCAAAGACGATGAACCCTCAAGGATAGTCAATTACTTCCATAGGCCAGCTGGAACATATTATAAAGACTCCGAAATGACAGCTAGTTAGAATTTACCAGTGTACTGAGAAGAAAAGACAAGGAGAAAGAAAGATTCTGGAAAGAAGAAAGCTTCTAACAGATACTGCTGGGAAATTCCTTTAGAAGAATTCCATCTAAGTCTCGAGCCCAGCATCATGCATCACATATCACTTTACCTGTTTTTCATATGCCAGCAGTTGTTTAGAAAGCTGTTGAGTGGCCAGGCACATTTCATTCTGTAGAAGAGAAAAATTAAGATTTGTCCAATGCATAGATAGTACTAACATAGTCACCTCAAAGAATTCCTTAAAAATATGTTTGTGTGTTCGCCTGTGAAACAATATACTTTGTTAAGAATTATTTTAAAAATAAGAACAAGCAAATAAAAAGGTTAAAGTGTGCTTATTTTAAAAAAAATCCTTTTATAAATTATAGCCATCCTTCTGTATCCACAGGGGATTGGCTGCAAGACTTCTTGGAATACCAAAATCCATTGGTGTTCATTGAGACTTTTATATAAAATGGTGTAGTACTTATATATAACCTCTTACTTATTTTAAGCCATCTCTAAATGACTTATAGCACTTTACATGCCCTCTTAGCCTTTGAGGGATTTCTTTGATCACTTAATCCCTCCCTTCCTTGAATATATTCAATTTGTGATTGGATGAATCCACAGATTCAGAACACAGAGACTTAGAAGGCAAACTGTACTGTGCTGTACTTCTGGTCTGTAGGTCAACAGATGTAGTGAGTGAATATAATATGTCAAATATGCTAAATGTCAGGAGTACAGGGGAGAAGAGCAAAGATAGACTCTGTCCCAAGGCTTACTGAGGAAACAACAAAAAATACAAATGTGATGAGAACAGCAAAGGAAAATAGCGGGCACCTGAGAGGCTGTGACAGGATAATGCAGATGGTCTCTAAGGAGGAGTTCTGCTGGCTCAGGGGCAAGGAGCTTTGCTGCCAACCCAAAGGCAGAAGGTTCGAATCTACCAGCTGTTCTGAAGGGCATACTCTTCCTGTGAGATTTAATGCCTCTGAAAGCCCGCTGGAGGGTCAGCTAGGAGTCAGTTCCAACTCAATGTTACATATCAACAAAGAGGGGGAGATGCTTTCTGAGACCCCTATAAAAGCTGAGTCATGGGGATGAGCTGTCTAGGAGCGGAAGCACGAGGAAAAACTGCATAGCATGCCTGAAGAGCTATGAAGCAGAGAGCAGCTGGAACGAGGGCTGAGGGCGACACAAAGGAAACGAGGTGAGCGCTGCCTGCAGAGATCACCATGCCAAGACCCCGTGGTCCACGATTTAGATTTTATTCCAAGAATAATTAGAATTTATGTAGCTATGACATGCTCAGGGAGCTCTGGTGACCTAGTGGGCAAGGAGTTGTGTTACCAATCCCAGGGCAAGTGATTTGAATGCACCAGGGGCTCCACAGGAGAAAGCTGGCACCTTCCTCCCATCTGATGAACTGACTCTGAAAGTCCACTGCGGGTCCAGCTACGAATTGGTTCCAACTCGACAGCAGTGAGCACGAGCCTTCTGGATGGCATGATTCTAACGTCTTGGAGCATAAGACCAGAAATAATGGACAAAAGCTAAAGTCAATTGTCTCAGTAGAACCAAAAAACCTTACTTTTTAAGGAGTGCAATGCCTTCCTGTTCCGTTCTTCACTGGCCAATGTCATCCATTTCTGTCTCCTTTTCCTTGGTGGTACAACAGTTAAGTCTTGTCTCCCAAGCCAACTAAGAGTTTGGCACTTTGAAACCACCCACTGGCTTGGCAAAGATTACAGCCAAGAAAACCCTGTGAGGCAGTTCTGTTCTGTAACATGCGAGCTTGGCATGAGTTGGAATCAATTCAACGGCACCTGAAAACAATCTACGGCCAACACAGCAGGCTGGGTGCACTATTCCTTCTTCCATCAGTGTGGCCCCGCCTAGAACACATGCCTTACCCAAAGCTGAGCACACATCTACCCTCAGATGAGTTTTATTCATGGAAAGGCTTATTCTGAAGAGAAGAGCAAGAGCTCTGTGTGTCATCTAGCCTGCATGAGCGACAGGATTTGCTGCTTCTACCTTCTCAGCCAACACCTTCACCCAGTTTCCCATTCTCCTACGTGCGTTGTTCCTTTAAAAGTAACCAACCCTGCAGGAACTTTCTGTTTGTTTTGTTTTATTGTTCTTGGCTCTCCTTCAGAGCCCAATCCTACCTCTCGTGACATATACAGACCAGGAGGGCAGCCTTTTTTGTCCTTCTTCCTCCACAATAAAGTCAAGGAAACACAGTAAAAGTTCCTGGATGTGGCAAGAAAGGAGTCCTTTCAAAATGAACAAGAGCTGTTAGCCATGTATACGGTCAAGAGGAGGCAGATCCACAAGCACTTTACCCTTCATTGAGCCAGCTGAGATCTACCCCGATTTCTAGAACACAGACCCCAAACCACAGCCATAGAGTCAATTATGACTTACTGGGGTGCACCACGGGGGTTTCGAGGCTGTGAAACATTATGGGAAGAGATTGCTTATCTTCCTTCCATGAAACCACTGGCAGATGCAAACCTCTGACCTGCTGGCTAACAGCCCAACACCTTAAGATACTGTACCATTGGGTTCCTTCACCACAGAGCAGGCACTTGCTTGACTGTCCAGAATGATGGCCTGGAAGGGGAAAACTGCTTCCTAACTCTACACGGAAACATCAAAAATTGAGGAAAATAAACAGATTGGGCAAGGATGAAGCCAGTAACTGTCAGAAGAAAGTTGTTCTGAAGATTAGAGTTTATGGAAACAAAGGTCTTATCACTGGCAGACCTCTACTGGATCAGAGACTCCCCTGTTCTTCCCTGAGCTAGTAGCAGGTGGCTTGAAGAAGGATTTGCGCTGCCACCTTCCATTTGCCTGAAGGCAGCACAAGGCAGAATAAACTTTCTAGAACCCAACTGTAATAACAATGGCAGCTCACATTTACTGAGCGCTAAATTCATGTCAGATGCCCTCAGTGCATTCCATGAATTATCTCAATGATGCTGACAACTGTGGAAGGTAGTGGCTGTTACTAGGCACTGCTGAGTCAATTCCAATTTACAGCGACCCTGCATACAGCAGACTGGAACCCTTCCCAGTCCTGCACCATTTTCACCATCTCTGCTCAAACCCAGAGCTGCAGTCACTGTGTCGATCCATCCTTCTGTCAGTTTCCTCTCTCCTTCGTCGGCCCCCTGCTTTTCCAAGCACGTTATGAGGAAGCCACAGGTCCCACGTCATAACATGACCAAAGCAGGTGAGACCAAGTCACACCATCCTTGCCTCTAAGGAGCATTCTGGCTGTATTTCTTCCAACAAAGACCTGTTTGTTCTTTTGAAAAGTCAACAGTATGTTCAATATTCTTTGCCAGGATCATTATTCAAAGGCATCACTCTTTCTTCAGTTTTTCTTATTCCCTGCCCAACTTTCACATGCAGAGGAAGTAACTAAAAATGCCATGTCCTGGTCTGGGGTAACTTATAAATTGACACCTTTTCTGTCAACCTTTTTGTGTGTGTGTGTGTGAAAAGTATTGAATACACATTCATGTTTATTATTGAATTATTCATGCTAGCAAAGAAATGGAAGCAGCCCAACTGCCCATCAATAAATGAATGGATAGGAAAACCATGGTACATTCACATAATGGAATATTACAAGGCATTATGACCTTTACAGAGGCCACCAGCAACATCTTTTTCCCATGTACTAGTTAGTAGGTTTGAACCCTTGACCTTTGATTAGCCATTGAGCCCTTTAAACATTATACAATTAGGGTTCCTTTTCTTTATAATTCAGACATGATTATATTTAGTGCCTACCCTACGGTGGTTGTTGTATCTCTCAACATTTTTAAGAGGTCATTTGGCAGCAGATTCATCTGACGCAACATATCTTTTGATTTCTTGACTGATACTTTCATGGGTACTGATTGTGGATCCAACTAAAATACACTCACTGACAACTTCAATCTTTGCTCCAAATATTATGATGTACAGTTGTGGGGATTTTGCAAGGTGGAAAGCCAGTTTTATTATTAACTCAATTTTACAGATGAAGGAACTGAGACAGAGAGAGTTTAAACCATCTGCCCAAGGTCATAGATCTAGCTAGACTTTGTTGTTTTTGTTAAGTGCCCATCAAATTGAGCATGACTTACAGTGATCATGTGAACTACAGATCTGAATTGTGTCCTATCCTGTGCTGTCCTCATCAACCCTGATAGACTTGAGCCCATTGCTGCAGTCACTGTGTCAATCTCATCTTGGGAGTCTTCCTCTCTTTCACTGACCTTTTAGACTTTAAATTAGGGATGACAACTATTCTGTAAAGGGCCATATAGTACCTGTCACACTATTCAACTCTAGTGTTATATCAAGAAAACATACATAACAACAGGTAAACAAATAAATAAGTATCTCTTGGTTCTAGGGCCTCCACAGGAAAAAGACTGAGAACCCAATTACAAAATGGGCAAAAGATGTGGAAAGAATTTTCACAGAGGAAGATACTCGGATGGCCAACAGACACATGAAAAAATGCTCCAAATCACTGGTGATAAGAGAGATGCAAATCAAAACCACAATGAGATATCATCTCAATCGAGTAGCAGTGGCAAAGTTTAACAGGACAGCAAGCAATAAATGTTAGGGAGAATGTGGCTAGATAGGAACTCTTATAAATTGTTGGTGGGATTGTAAAATGATACAACTACTCTGGAAGGCAGTTAAGTGCTTCCTCAAAATGCTGAATAAAGAAATTCCATATGACCCAGCTATTCCACTGCTTGGAATATACTCTGAGAAAATGAGAACTGAGGCATAGAGATTTGTACACCAATGTTCATAGTAGCACTATTCACCATTGCAAGAAAATGGAAACAGCCCAAATGTCCAACCACAGACAAATGGATTGAAAAAGCATGGCACATTCACACAAAGGAATACTATGCAGCACGCAGGAGCAATGATTTTATAAATTACTACCTAACTTGGGAGGTACTGGAGAGCATTATGTTGAGTGAATTTACTCAGTCCCACAAGGACAAATACTGTATACAACTATTATTGTTGAATGAGTATGAAAATGCAAGGGGAGGTACAGGGTGGCAGCAGAGGGATAGGATGAGTGGTGGGGGAGGGGAAAGAATTAATCATGGGGTTGTAAAATTTGATGGGTAGGGAGGTGAGGGAAACTAG